GCATTGGTGATTTCCTAAATAGTTTGGTGCAAATGCAGGATAAAATTCAAAAAATTAGTCTCGAGACGTTCACTTACAATCCTCGGCTTTTAATAACAGCTTATTATAATTTAGTTAATTAGCAAAAGAATTTAAGAAGTTTTAAATTTATTGCTAATGCATATTCCTTCTATCAGGATCTTTCTACTCATCGTTATTCTGGTTTTGTAGAAATCGATAACTTCAATTTTGCTGCTGACAACTTAATGAAAATAGTATTAAACATAGTAAAAGTTACTCCAAAACTACTAGCCCAATTAAGTCAATTACCTAATCTCGAGGTTTTACAAATCAAATACTGTGCTATCCAAAAAGAGCTTGACTGTACCGCTTGCCAAGGCAAATTCTACAAATTACATGACTTAGAGCTATTCTATAGTAGAAGATTGGAAAAAATACTATTTACTAGTTATGATTTCAGTTTCTTGCAAACTGTTAGACTGGTTCCGAAATATAAGATGTTAAACTATATACAAGAAATGGATGAAATTGTGAACTTGATCATCAAGAAATGTCCTCATATCACACAATTGTATTCTATCATAAATACTCCTGAGCAATTAAATAGATTATCCATTTTTTCCAATTTAAAAGAACTCGGTATTATTATACCTTGTTATTATAGGTTCGGACATAATCCAGAGGATATTTTATTAAAACACACAATGTTTATTAACGTTCAAGAACTTAATTTATCAGAAACCAATTTAGATCATAAAGTTTTACTGGAAAAATTGGGACATGGCTGTACAAGTTTCCGAATCTCAAAAGATTAACTTTGCCTTTAGGTTTTCCTAAATATTTATCAGATCTAAAAAAAGTTGTTGCCTCGAACTTGCAATTAACTCATTTAATTTGTAATAGATTAATTAAAAATACATCTGACAGTTGTTGTTGCCTAGAACAAGTATATATCTACAAAGAATTTGAAAAAGAAGAATTTGACACAATTGAGTATTTTCACCAAAAGAATGTGACTATTATCATAAAAGGTTATAGCTTTGAAAAAGATAATCTTTATAAAAAAATGAATTTTTGATTGCTTTGAAGAATCGTGTAATAATATATTTGTTCCCAATAAAATTATTAGTCCAAATTAGAATGCTTTTGTATTACTCATGCAGAATTATTATCAAAGTTACAGATTACTACCAGAACTAGATTTTTTACTCATTTTTTAGAATGTTAAGAATCAAACATATTATTGATTACAAGGCACTGAGTTTTACTTGGATTAAGAATTCTACTATTAAATTGTTTCGCTACAACAACTGTTCAATACAAATATGAACGTATCTTTCTCTTAATAATCTATTATTTACTAGAAAATCAGCATGAACTACTATTAGATTGTTTGTTAATTTATTCAATATGCTTTGCATTATCCATCTAATGATCTTACTGAGTTTTTTTTGTATAAACTAAAATAAAATTTGGTTTGCTTGTGAATGTTTTGATCAGTATAAAATATTACCTGGATAGATTTATTATAGAAATAAACTTGGTTAAATATATCAAAGCTCAAAAAAATCTTAGATAACGCTCACGGCTTTAGCATTCGTTCGGTAAAGTATTTATTTTAGGCAGAAAACATTTTTTTAAAATACAAAATTAATTTTGTAAGAAATTTAGAGATAATGAAAAAGTTCAAAGAAAGTATACAAACTAATATAGGTACTGCACATAAATTACAAAATAAAAGAATGTATATATGACATCAACAAATCTGTTCGTTATTATAAACATCATGTAGAGAAGATGACATATGTTCAACAATTTTCATTTTCATAAAGTTTATAATTTTAACGGGAGGTAGAAAACCAATAGCTAAAGAGATTATGGTGTGCAAAATGTAATCTAAAGAACTACTAATAGGTGAGTTTAACTCATCGTTAAAACAAAATGTCACAAGATAAAGGATAAGATACATTATTGACAGAATTCCTGTTATTGTCATGTACCATGTACCAACAGCGACAGATTTTGCATTTATGTGACATTTTTGAGAGGCTTCTTTGCTTATGTAAACTGTGAGAACCGGTAGGAAGACATATAAAA